CGGCGGACGGCAGGCTGGGAAGCGTTTCTGTGTGGGGCAACGCCGGCCGGCCTGCTTCTGCTCTCTTACCTGCGATGCGTTGGTGATGGGCAGGCAGATGCCCAGGTCGTTGACGGTTAGCTGCAGGAAGAGGGTGCTGAAGGCCTGGGCTGACGTCTGCTGAATGCCGGGCAGCTTGTCCACCACCTCCCTGGTGGCCATGTGGATGTCCTTGTTGAGAGCCAGACTCTGCTCCTTCCAGTTGTCGTATGCCGCCTTGTAGTTCAGCCAGAAGAGCACAGCTACAGGTGGGGAAGGGGGGAGTTACGAGAGTGAAGGCTTTACCTTCCCTCAGACATCGGTAAACAGAAGCTAACCTCGGTCGAACGCCACCGGCTGCGCGAAAACGATGGGCCTGTTGAGGGTTATCAGCACAGCCTCCTTGTCTGACGAGCAGCTTATTTCCTCCTGCAGGGCGTTTCGCAGACCGATCCGGGTCCTGAAGTACGCCACCTGATGGAAGTCTGACCCGGCTTCTTCGTACACCTGGAAGGACAGAGGAAGAATGAAAATGGCTGCCAATACGGCCTCGGAATGGAGGCCGCCGTCACCTGCCTCACCTGATGCTTGACGATCTGTCCCAGGGCCAGGTTCAGGTCCACCTGGCATTTGCCGAAGAGCTTGAGGTAACTTCTGCTGCCCCCCGGCTGTGTCTTGCACTGGATCCTGTTGGACAGCTCCAGCTCGATCAGGCCCGTCTCGAAGCGCACGGCCCGCATCGACGGCGTAGTGGCCGTCATCTGGATTCCCTGAAAACGAGTCATTCTTCAGTGAGGCGGTGTTCTGCCAGACCAGCATACCCCCTCAGACCAACACACCCATAGTCAGTACGCATGCGGAAGACGTCAGATAAGCATATGCTAGTCCTGTTTATCCCTTTAGTTTTGTACGAAAAACAAACTTTAAAATACCTCAACGGGCGTGTATCCATTTAGTCATGTACAAAAAAAACCATAAGCCATCACCATAAGCTTCATAAAAACACAAAACTAAGTAATTAAGTAGTTTTTTGTACATGACTATAGGGATACACGGCCATTGAGGTAGTTTAAAGTATATTTTTCCTATAAAACTAAAGAGATAAAAAGGTATTAACTATGGGTATGCTGGTCTGATGGGGTATGCTCATCTGACAGAACAGCAGCTGAGGTTCAGACCTCAGAGCTCCTCTCCCCCCGCCGCTCAGCGTGTCTGAACAGGACGTACCTTGAACATGAGGCTGAGTGAGTAAAGCAGAATCTTGGGCTTGTCGGCGTCCGTTGAGGTGTCGTGTTCGTTCCACAGCGGGATCGGCTGCTCGCCTCCTGCAGCGAAGACACACGGAGAGATGCTGAAGGCGCCGCTCGAGCCGATAGACCGAACCGCCTCAGCGAGTTCAGACAATTACTATCAATACTGTGCTGGAGCCGAGGGACGGGTCCGGTTCTGTGAGGGGAACTGGGTCACCGCCGCAGCACAGTTATAGGAGTAAATCCTATAACTGTGGCAGCTGGCCAATAGAGGGCGCTAGAGTGCTGTCCCACCCACCTAATGATATATTATAAGCCAAAACAAGGTGTTGAGCTACTCTATGAAGCTTCAAACTCAACGCTAATTCTGACGTTTTGAATTGAAAAAAGCTTCCTAGATGGGAAGCGAAACAAAAGGCCAGTGGATCGTTTAACTTTTTTGGAATGGTTGTGACTGGATTTCAAGAAACTTAAGCCTCTCGGTATAAAATAAATATTTTGTTGGAGATGAGAAATCTGTTTCCAGGTATGTTGAAGTACCATTAATTTGCATCCAATAATTTAAACGGTCTTAGTTTTTGGGAATATATAAGAATTATGCTTTGATTTGTAGTTACAGAGCGGTGGTTACCATATTTTAAGTTGACAAACTGGATCTTCTTGGCGTTCTTTTTCCTGTTTGGTATGATTACAATTGCTGATCTGGACCTGGTCGGCTTCCGACGGACTGGAGCCGAGCAAAAAATAGCTCGTCTACGTATTTTGACAGTGACGGATGGAGAAGACGTATGCGGACGGTGACACATGGAGGAGTGGAGGTGGATGTGGAGCAGCTCTCCTTTCCACTACCCTCTGAAAACCGACCCGTGCCGAGTTCAGTTCTTTACGACCGTTTACACATCAGGCTAGCGCGGTTCCTCGCCTCCTAGTGGCCAACTACAAACCTAGATGGTGGCGCCGGTAACATTTCAGGAATTTTGGTTATAATTGTAACAATTTTTTGTTTACAGAAAGTCAGGCAAAGAAGGCAGCCTCTGGTTAATTTACTTAACAGAGTCGGCTTTTAGGAAGTGGATACCACAAACGAGTCTAATCAGGGACACAGGAAATGACAGGAGTTATGATTCATCACACTGCTCAGCAGAATAATCCCTGGAAATCATGTGGCACGGTAGGGAAGCTAGGATTTTTATGAATGTCTGAAATATCAGGATTACGGAGGCTTAGACAGGTTTATTTTGTCATTTTGTATACACAAGTGTAAACAAAAAGAAATTTAGTTTAGAACATCTTTCTAGACAATTTCATTTTTAAAGTGCGGCCTTGATAAGGTAAGCAGCAGTTGTTGTTGAGCTGCTACTGCTGCCTATAAGGAGATGAGGCGTTCTGTTCATGCGCTCTTTGTTCTCTGAGAACCTAGCCCTACTGATGAACTAGTACCATGTTCCCGCGGTTCGGTTGTGTCTGGCACGGTCTGGTTCAGTTCTGCGTACCATTTACACCCAGTTACCTTGGTTACCGTGCTCGGACTGATCTCAGCACAGTTTCAAATGGGTAGTGGAAATGAGGCTCCACAAGTGAGGCAGGACTTATGTGAGCGGGGCGGAGGATGTGGAATCTGGGGGTTAGAGTCTAAATCCTCCCTGCTTGTGGAGACAGGATGTAAACTTCTATCTAGAATGTTTCAGAATAAAAGCCCGAAGTTCACCTACCTGAAACCTTCTGGATGACTTCATTCACTTCCTTCATGAAGACCTTCTGCAGAAACACCAGGTGGTTGAGCAGGTCTGTCGTCAGGTTGTGTTCGAAGGAGCCAATCTGTGCATGTTAGAAATACTTTATTTATACTCTGTTTGTGTTTCATGGGTTGTGTTCTAATGAATTATTATGATGTATAATGTGTGATTCATCTTTTATTAACTTTTGCTTAAGATTGTTCCAGATTAAGGTCATACAACGGACGGGTTGTGAAGGAGACCTGAACATCCTCTATCACATGTTTCTTCTAAACATGTGTTCTTGGAACAATTCAATTGTAAAACAACCACATGCTTTGTTTTAACCTATGTGCTGAGGTTTAAAGTAAGATCCTTTTGTTTCCCTTTCCCTTTAGTTAAACCTCAGCTGGTGTAATTAGGGACATCCCCTTTTCTTGAATAAATAGCAAGGAGAAAGCTGAAGACTGCAGAGAGGGGTGGAGATTGTAAACTCCGCAGTCTCTTCCTACTCTCCTCGCGAGTAACTAAATTAATTGTCTCTGTGCCTTCTTTCTTTCCCTGTATGTATGCATGATGTTTTAGGTGCTTAGACCTGACAGTGCATCGGAAAGAAGAACCAACAGTTCAGAGGTTTCAGGAGGATCTTGAGGAGGAAGCGGCGCCGGGTCCGACTGCGTTTCTCACCTCGGCGACGCATCGCAGGTAGTTTCCCTGCAGGTAATTTCCCTGCTTGGTGGGGAAGTCGTCCGGAGCCCAGCTCTGGTCCGAGTGGCTCTCGTGGTCCTCCATGATGTACTCCCCAGACATGGTGATGGGAGGCAAAGTGAGGCTGGCCGAGGGAGACATGGTGGACATGTCCACTGGGGACACTTTGGACTGGAAGCACAGCTTGTGGTTTGGCAGCTCGAAGGTGAAACTGGTTTGGGCTCCTGAAAGAAGAGGAGGAAAGGCATCAGGAGTCTGTGGTTGAACAGAGGCGAGACGTCGGGGTTCCTGGGGGGCAGCTCCACCTGTCATCCCGTGGCTTTTCACTGGACCCATTTTGTACTCGGCCTTCAGCGAGGGCAGCAGCGCCGCACCGATGGTGATGCCGTCCATGATGGCGCTGAACTTGAGCACGATGGGCTTCTTCTCCAGTCCCTCAGGAAGCTGTGGGAACTCGTTGGCCTCCACGGGGGTCTGGTTGATGCTGGAGGCTTTGTCTGAAGGTTGGGGAGTGGGCGTGTCCTCTCGGTGAGGTTGGCTGATATAAGACAAGGTCAACAACAGAAAAACAAAACTTAAGAGATCAAACAGTGAAGCCAGAGAAAATCATAGGGCGGGGCTTTAACCCCCATCTGAGACCAATGTTTTCAAAGCAGATCATTTCCACATGAAGCAAGAAATAAAGGGAAGGCAGAAAAACTGGAGCAACATCAGGATTACAAACAGCAGAGGCTTCAAGCCTCACCTGGAAACAAGGTTCCTACACATTCTGTTTAAACTAGTTCTCAGTCAGATCACATCACCTCAGGTTACTTTAGAGTTGGTTAAATTAAATCATCCAGAGATCTAAGGTTAAAATTACGGATTTTAACAAAACTTCACCTTATGATTAATTAAAGAGTAATGGTTTATTCAATTAAAATTTGTTCTATCAGATCCACTGATAACGTTCGCTTAGAAATAACTTATTTTAGTGTTGTACTGCTATCACGTTTCACCAGAGGGCGCCGTTCATCCTTAAGCAGAGCCTAATACAGGGGTGCTCACACTTTTTCAGCATGGGAGCTACTTTTGAAATGACCAAGTCAAAATGATCTACCCATTATATTTATTGAGAAAAATATATTGAGGATTCTTACAACTTATTTTAATGTATAACCACATATGTTGAACAACACAACATAACTATGTACATTCTTTGCCATTTTCTGAGTTCACTCTGATGACTTGCACTGAATTGAATCAGCCAAGGATATATAGTCAGGACAGTAGCTGCTGACAGCCAGCCTCAAGCACATTTTCAAATGCTCATCAGTCATAGTGGAGCGGTACTTGGACTTAATTATCTTCATGTAGGAAAAGGCTGACTCACATAAATAAGTGGAGCCGAAAAATGCAGTCAAGGAAATAGCACATTTCCTCATGTTGGGATACTTTCCCTCTGCTAGTAAGTTCCAGAATTGTCCATGAGCTCTGGACTTCAGCTCAATGTCAGCTTGTAGTGTGAATATCTCATCTTCCACTCCAGAAGAGTTCAGGTGAAATAGTGTTGCAATTTTTGATGAGAGTGAATCAATCTCCACATCTTCCCGAAAAGGAAAACACATGAATGTTGCAACTGGCTCCAGCAAAGAAAAGTCTTGAAAGCGTTTTTCAAACTCTGACATACAGCTGTCAATCTGTTCTGTGTAGCGTTCACTGTCAAGTTGCACACAGGCCTTCCCCTGCATCTCCAGCTCTGACGCCAGGTTCTGGAAGTTTGCCAAATCATGACGCTGCAGCTTTGAGGACAGATGTTGCAGTTTGCGTTTGAAAGCATTAACTGAGCTGATCATATTGATCACTGTTTTGTCTTTTCCTTGCAGCTCTAGATTGAGGTCGTTCAACATGTTTGTCAGATCAGTTAAAAATGCCAAGTCTAACAGCCATTCACCGTCACTTAGTTGTTTGTATTCTGCATGCCCAGTTTCACGGAGAAACTCCTTAATCTCTGGGCAGAGCTCTCGAAATCTTTGCAGGAATTTCCCTCGGCTAAGCCACCTCACATCAGTGTGTAGCAACAAGTCAGAGTGGTCGCAGTCAGCCTGCTCCAGATGTGCACGGAACAACCGTCTTTGAAGAGACCGGGCTCGAATAGCACAGGCAATTTTCGTTGCGACATCCATGATTTCTTTCATGTTGAGCATTTTAGCGCATAATGCTTGTTGGTGGATTATGCAATGGTAATTCAGAAAATCTGGGAAAGCATCGTCCTGCCTACACTTGGCAATAAATCCATTCAAGTGACCAATCCTTGCAGGTGCGCCATCTGTGGTGATAGACACCAATTTATACACCGGCAGCTGGGTTTTCTCAATAAAGTTTTTAAACGACAGAAATATGTCCTCTCCTCGCGTCTTTTCTTTCATGGGCAGTAATGTTAACAGTTCCTCCTTTGCAGTCATATCACTAAACACCATACGAATAAAAACGCACATCTGTGCTGTGTCACTTACATCCGTAGATTCATCCAACTGCAGTGAGAAACACTCGCAATCTCCGATGTCCTTCCACATTTGCTGCGTTAAGTCCTCAGCCATGGCTTCACAGCGCCGTGTAACTGTACTCCTTGACAGCTGGAGAGCTTTGATCGAAGACAAGATTTCTGCTTTATTTTTAAAGTCCCGGAACAATGAGTCCGCTGCTTCAACGAATGCCTCTTTTACCATCTCTCCATCTCGGAATGACTTCTTGTTTTTAACGATGATGTGACTTACTCGGAACGATGCTTCTGTAGCAGCTTTAGCTTTAGAAGTAACTTGTGTGAAAAATGACTGCTGTCCCAACAACTGGGATTTTAGCTCCTTCACCTTTGTCTTTCTCAGCTCGCTTTTCGGTGGGAATTCAGTGTCGTATTTTCCATGAAGAGTCCGAAAATGTCGCTCCACATTTCCCTTCTTTGGTATTGCGAGGGTAGATTGGCAGATGAGACAAACGCACTTTGAAAATGTCATTGTGAAAAAAAAGTCCTCCTCCCATTCTGTATGAAAGTGATACGTTTTTTTCTTCTTACTTGGTCCAGCTTCCCCACTCATTTTCATAACCGAGCGAAAAATTAGGATGCAAAAATTAGCAAAGTTAACAAGCTTGTCATCTGATTGGTTGTCATCTGATTGGTTGTCCTGTGTATCAATCAAGTGTCGGTTTGGCTGATAGGCTGACGTCTACTTTTTATTCAAAACAATTCAACTTTATTTGCATAGCGTCAGTTCATGACAATCTCGCCTCACTTTGTCATGCGATCTACCAATAGTACCTTGGCGATCGACTGGTAGATCGCGATCGACGTATTGAGCACCCCTGGCCTAATAAATACAGATCAGTGGGTCTGACGCTGTGAGGATCCATTTAGAAAAGGGGAAAGCTGCGGCGCTTAGGTCAATTAAAATGGCAACAAACTGCAAAGAAGAAGAGAACCGAGGGGAAACCTACGCGTTGGAGGGCTGGCGGATGAGGTCGGAGATCTGCTTGGAGAGCTGGTGGGAGCTGCGCACCATCATGCTGTGCAGGGTGGCCGGGTGCTGGGGGATGTTGATCATTATGGAGCCCACCTTGAAGACGGCGGCGTTGTTGGTCTTCAGGCCGCGCTGGGCGCTGTACAGCGCCTGAGATTTGGCGATGGTGCATTTGACGACGGTTCTGAAACACAGGAGAGGACAGGTGAGGACAGGAAGGACACTTTGATCCTGAGGAGGCGTGGACACGAGGATGAAGGTGGGATGATGTGAAACATCATGCAGTCAGGACAGCGTTCATTATGGCAGCGGCACTGTGGAAAGGATGAGTGATGAGATGGATCCAAAGACATAAAACGATCAGAATCACAGACTCTACAAAGATCATCCATCAGCAGCTTTCATTCAGACAGAACTAGGGCTGAAACAATTAATCTGATAAATCAATTAATCCTTAACTGGAGCGACCCACTTATAGCAGGAATTACAGTAGCAGCCATTCAAAATGGCCATTCAGCTGGCGTTTGACAGGGACTCCACCCTTTCAATGAATTACAGGTTCTGACCAGGAGATGGCGCTTCTCTTTAGATCTTAATGTCCATAAATCATGACAGAGAGAATATTTTAGTAAAAAGATTGATAATTAAAGTCGTAGGGAAGCGGCCGTTCCAGTTGTTGCATTTCTGAATTCTCCCAAGTGGTGCCCGACTTTACAGGAGTGAATGTGATCGGTCATTTATCGAGGGGGATTGTTGTGGTGGAACGTTCGTAAGCACTTTGGTTTTGGCCGATTTGTCTGGAAGCATCTTGCTAACCAGTTAGCATCTTAGTGCTAGCAGGTTCCCAATGGGAAATTCCATTGGGACCAAGTAGCACTAAACTGGGGACTTAGAAACGACGCTGTCAAGGAACGCTATGGACAGAGGAAACATGCAAGAGGAGGAGAGTTTAGTGTCGGAGGTCGTGGATGAGTCTCCTCCGTCATCCATTTTTTATTTAGAGGAGGAAAGCGGGGACGAAGATGTTGTGGAAGAGGACGCCAGGGCGGCAGAAGCTTGGTTTGGTGTAGAAGGCTTCCAGCCGTACATGTTTGAGCCCTTGCCTCGCAACGCTGCCAGTTCTGTTAGCTCTACGCCTGCCGAAGACACAGACGTCCATCCCCGTGAACACTGGGACGCAACTCAATGGGAAAGGAAAGGATTCTGATTTCAACCGTTGCGTATATTAGCTGCGACATATGAATCAAGATGCCATGACCTAGAAAATGTGATTGACAGATGATCGTTGATATATGATTGGCCGAATTTAGGTGTTCAGGCTGACGTAGAACTAACTGGCCTGCAGAAGATAACGGAAAAAAACACAGATTTTAAGACAGAATATTTTTAAAATAAATATTTTCTAAATTCTGGGACAGTCGGATAAAGAATACATTTATATACACGTTTAAGCCAGAATGATTTGACATTTAAATATGACTTCCCTATGACTTTAAAAAAAGAATTATAGGGGACCATCCAAGGACACATCAAAGAAGGTGGGGAAATGTTGAATGGCTGCTACTGTATACCAAGGTGGTAGAAAAAAAAAATATATAAACATTTTGGATTTAAGATAAAAAAAATCTGTTTTCCACTGTCAATAATCCTCAATCCAGAAGTCCTCAAGTGGAAAAGTTTTAGTTTCAACTGGTTTTATTTCGTTAAAAAATCTTTTATAAGAAAGCTTTGGCTATCAGATTATTGATTTATTAATTGAAAAAATAGTGAACAGATTAATTGATTTGAAAAATAATCATCAGTTGCAGCCCTAGAATGAACCCTGAGAAGTGAACCAACGAAGGATGCAGTCATGGCTCCACTAAGGCCGACACACATACAGAAATTCCTGCTTAGCCGTGCTGGTGGGAGACGTTGGAAAGTCCTCCAGTCTGTGCAGTTAGTGGGAGGAGGAAGCAGAGTGGAAGGAAGACAAGAGGAGAAGGTTATAGAGCTATGCAGATAGAAAAGCTGCCCACGACCGATCAGACGGCAGATTTAAAACAACAGCAACGAAAACCTTTAACCTTTCGGGAGAATCGTATCTGATAAACGGGTTAAGAACATGAGTGTGATATAAAAACCTGAATTATTCAGACGCTTGGAGAGAAATCTGTGATAAATGCATGAAAATCCTGCATGTCAAATAAATTTGGCTTTTTCAAAGCTGATGTTTATTTTTATCATTGGTTCCCAATCATATCATTATTTTGGCTTTTCAGTGTTGAAAAAAAAGTGAAACATTTTTCATTTCTTCATGTTTAAGAAATGATCATTTAAATTAAATGTTAATTTCAAACTAATTTACCTTAAAGCAGATTTAAACACATGATCAAATGGATATAATAAATACTAAAATAGCATCGATACCGACGCCTGGTGCTGATCCATACCAGAGGTGAATGAATGAACCAAACATGGCAGCCATGGGCGCCACGCATCAGGCCTGACATCAGCATCGTTACAGGAAGGATCACAAACAGAAATCCTCACCAGCTGCTCTGCCTGATGATGCAACCAGGGCAAAAATAGAGCTGCAGTTTCTAGAATGCTGTTTGATTTTGATAAAAACTGAAGTAACTGGATCGACGTCGTTCATCTGATGTCCGATCAGTTAATTAGACGATATCAGACCATCTCTAATGTATAATCACACTTATTAACCCTCCTTAACTACACTTCATTAACAGTTAAAGTGATGACAGCAGCTTGGAGGCGGGACTACGTACTGGATGTCGGGCGTTATCCCCTCCAGCAGGACGATGTTTACTCCTCCGATGTGAGCCGAAGCACATGTCTCTGTCATCTTCTGGTGAAGGATGTCTGCGCAGACGGCACAAAAAGACATGGCATCAAACCTCCTGTCCTCCAGGGGGCGCTCTGCATGGCAGCGACGCTTCTGTAGCCCCACCCTTCATCTTCTCCTTCAGGGTGAAGGAGCCGTGGATCTTCTTCAGCTCCGCCTCCATGGTCAGCCCGCCGATGTCGGCCTCCAGATGCGTGCGGTTCACCATGCCGATGCCGAACACAATCAGCGTGACGTGGTGAGGCTCGCTGCTCACCAGGCTGCGCCGCCGCCCGCCGGCCGGCTTGTTGGGCGTGGCGGGCTCCTGCTGCTCGTTTTCATAGATGACTTTACACAGCGGCTCGGAGGGACGCCGGCCACCTTCTGCAGGACGTGATGCAAGAAAAACAAACCAAAACAACAGATTATAGGTTTGTAAAGATCAGCATCTAACACGGCTTGAAGCTGTGGGCTGGCGGGGGGGCGGGTTTCCACCTGATAGGCAGTTCTCTGGGGAGCTCTTCTCCAGGATGCCGGTGGGATCAGAGATGAGGGAGTAGAAGTTGAGCAGCTTGTACATGTTCTGCCAGCACTCTGCCGACGGCTCGCTCTGCTCCGACACCGTGATGGAGTCCGAGTCGTCCATCTGGATTGGCATGTGGTCGGCCACGTCGCGAGAGCCCTTCCTGGACACCTGCGGGAGAAAAAAACTCATTCCTCAGCTGATTATGGGGAGAACTTTGTTCCAATGTTAGGGAATGCGATGACCGTATGTGCAACAACACAGGAAATAGCCTGCTAATTCTTTCATTTAAAGTTGAACGGAAGCGGCCGTTCCAACCGTTGCATTTCTGAATTCTCCAGAGTGGTGCCCGACTTTACATGACTGAATAAAGTGAATGTGATTGGTTGTTTATCAAGGGGGCGGGATTGTTTTGGCGGAAGGTTCGCAAGCAAATTTGGTTGTAGCTGGCTTCTCGGAAGCATCTCGCTTACCAGTTAGCAACTTAGTGCTGGTAGGTTCTAGGGGTGTAAATAATAATCGTTTTGTATCGATGCATCGATCCAACAGCCGACGATCCGATGCATCGACACGTCCGCAAGAGAATCGAATCATGTTTTTTTTTATTTTTATCCATTTGCTCCTGGATGTAATTCTCCCTCCCGTGCTGCGGTGGCGTTAAACTTATTTTGCCCTCCTACCTGCCTTCCTGGTTATACTCTTACAGCAGTGTGTTGCAGTGAGCTTGATGCAGACATTTTTAAATTATGCTCAGTATTGAAGCGTGGTCTGCGCTACACGCTGTGGGTCTAGATACGGCCGAGGCGGCGAGGAAGTGGGGGCGAGTTCAGTCCGACGACGGAGGGACATGAGGGCCAAAAAGAGCGGAGATCCAGGTGGAAAAAGGGTCCCAGCGTTCTCGCGCACCTCGCTCTTCTAGCGGGTCAAACTTCACGAGTTGTTTTCTGCAATTTCGGTCATAAAAACAAAACAAGCCGGCCTCCTGTCTGCGGCGCTGTCTGCGGTCAGCTACAATTTGGTAGAAGAGCAGCGGAGCGTCTGTGGAGGGGGCAGGACGTCTGGAGCCGAGGTATTGCATTGAACTCATTGCACTGATTTTCTGCAGTATTTTTAGGGATGCACAATATTGGGATTTTGGCCGATATCCGATATGCCGATATTTTAAAACTCATGTAGCCGATAACCGATATCGATACCGATGTTAAAGCTGGACAAAAATAAGTAGTCATTGAAAATAGCAGTTTTGTTATCCATTTCTGACACTTTGAAAAATAATATACTCAAATATATTTTCATATGCTGATATCAAATAGATTTTTAAAAACGCGGTATCGATCTATTTTACTTTCACAATCTGGTGAAATTTCATCGTTCTGTTACAAACTCTCATGATATTTTGCAAATTCTTGTGAGATTTTGTTGGTAAAATAGATCGATACGGCGTCAATATATCAACATATAAAAACATGGCAACATTTCGTGAACTTTCGGGGGATTTCGTAGCATAACGATGACATATAGCAATATTTCATTAGTAAAAGAGATTGATATGGTGTTTTTAAATGGCAATATATCAGCATAGGAAGATATTGGGATATTTTAATGTATCAATATTTTTCCCTCGTTTTTAGAAGTTTTTAAGTCTGTAAGAAAGAAGCTTTTGAGGAAGAAGAAGAAGTAGTATTTTTTTTTTTTTTTTTTTTTAACTTTAGAAACTCAGAAGCTGATCAAATATCAGGTTAAATATCGGTGGGGTGGCCGATGTCCGATATTCAGTTTTAAGGCCGATACCGATAGGGGGCCGATTATATCGTGCATCCCTAAATATTTTTGCAGTATTTTTTGATGCAACTTTTCTACTTCTGTTATTTGCTGCTGTTTCTAAAAAATGCATAACGATATTACAGCTTTCATTGATTTATTTCAAACTTGAAACTTTGTTTAGCCTGTAAGGTGTAAAAAAAGTAATAATAATGAAAAAAAATTTATCAGATTAATCGAATCGAATCATGGTGTATTCTTGAGTATCGAAAATAATCGAATCGTTGGGCCAGGAAATCGATACTGAATCGAATCGCAATGATGGATGTGATTTACACCCCTAGTAGGTTCCCAATGGAATTTCCCATTGGGAGGTTTATTCTTTTTATTTTGGGACGGGTGGTAAACAGCAGCTAGGTTAATACTGTGATCAAAACATCTTTTTATGCAGGTTGGGCGCCTCTGGGTGCAGATACGTCTGAGGGGAGCAGCTTTAACTGATTCTTCGTATTCATTACGCTGCCGTAGGTTAAGCATAAGTTAGGCTGTCATTGGACATTAGGTCTGGACTCGTTATGAATACTCTATACGCCAAAAACTGAAAAAAATACATAGAAAGTTCAGCGTATTCCAGCGTTTTAGAGGATTCTGGGACGTCAGGCATACGCTGGATAAACTGTCAAGGTGTGACAGAAGTTAGATTTAAAGGCAAATCTATGTGGCCCAACAGCAAAAAGAGGAACAGCAAAAACAAAGAATAAAGAATATATAATATCATACTTGCAAACAACATTAGAGATGTTTTTATAAAATACTGAGTTAATTTTGTTATTCTGACATCATGTTCCTTTTTTTTATCCAGTTGAACTGGAATTAGATTTTATATATATAAATTATTAAACACATGGAAAGACAAAATTCTTACATTGTAAAGACCAAGGAAATAAACCCAGGAATGTAAAATATTTCAGGTATACTAGCTTTCATTTTTATTTCGCTTTTACTTTGAAAGGCTTCCAATAAACTTCGGGTTCTGACGGTGAATTTCTGCAAACTCTCTTGGGGTTTGAGAATTATTCATAAAGTTTACACAACAGTTCCAGCTCTATTTTTATAGTTTTTTATCTTTTTGTTGATGTCATTTCTCAGATTTTGTTTTCTTTTTTTAGGGGAAGTGAGGAGTTTAATTTTCTAAGCTTTGTTTCACAGATTTCAGCCTCTACACCTCTGGATGTTCTGTGCCCTGACGAATAGATGCTGATGTTAACGTCACGCTGTGCAGCCTCATTTCTATTGGTCGACCAGCAGACCAATGGAAAAGAAGCTCCGCCCAGCTGAGTAGAGGGTTGGATCAATAAACTGCAATCTGAAAACTATGTAATTGGTAAAACTCAGTCTTCAAAAAAAGTGAAAACAAATATGGATAAACAAACAATAAAATCTGAATAAAACTATGAGAAAAATAAAATCTGGAAGAAAAAACATAAAATCTTACAACAGCAAACTGTGGAAATACTGGCTGAAATTTTGCATGAGGATTAAAACTGAAAATCTTTTTTTTCCCCACTTTTAAAATGTACTTCAAAATGAAAAATCTTTTTTACTTTAAATATTACTGGAACTCATTTCTCTCCATACACATGACAAAACTTCAGGCGGCCGTGATGTTTCTACCTTAGAGGTGCGGCGCTCTGAGCGACCGAGGGAGCTCCGCCCCCGTGGCTCCCGCCTCCCCAACGTGTCCATGCCTGACGGAGGTCCGTTAGGCGGCGCCCCGCCTCCTCCGCCCGCTCTCCTTCCTTTCAGCGTCTGGGTCCCGCCGCGGCCCGCTCCGTTCAGGCTGCCCCGGGAGCTCCGGCTGAAGTCCGAGGACAGGATGTGTCGGTACGGCCGGGCCTTGAAGGTCGGCGTCGGGGAGGTGGAGCCGGCGGTGTAGCGGCTCAGCTTGATGTCGGTCTGCGTGGCTTTGATGTCGTCGATCATGGTGCTGAACTGGTGGATGAGGCGGACCAGCGCCATGTCCACGCGCTGGCTGATGGCCTGGCAGGCGGTGGTGAAGTCGCAGTGGAAGGTGTTGTAGTGGCGGCGGTTGAGGTCGTGGAAGGAGAGCGGAGCCGCCGTGGGGCCCTGAGGGCAGCTGGTGGACTTCTCCATCACCACGGCGTTCACACTGAAGGTCTCGATCAACAGAGCGGGCTTGAACTCCAGGGGGGGGAGGTTGACCGTGCCCTGTCTGAACACAGAACCACAGAGGCAAAACTTCAGAACCGGTTCTAGAGTCCAGAGGTGGAGAAACGCCTGGAATTCATTTCTGTTCACATCAGCGACGTCGGTTTGAGTTCAAAATTCTTTTAAACAACTTTATTTTGGTTTCTCAATTCACAAGAACCTGAGCACGGACTCGTGTTCTCACCAAATCCGTTATTGACTAGAACACAGGAAAGTCTCGACTGGGGGAGAACAGGAGCACGCAGAATAAATCTGGGTTGATTTGAACAGAAGCGTACTGATGACATCACCACATTCAAAGCTACATTTCACCTCCTGTTATTAATAGTCTCTAGTTAATAATAAATTATGAATTTTTCATTTAATGGGGAATAATGATTAAAAGTCAGATAAACACAAATCAGAGGCTACGTTCACACCGTGGGCTGAAGTCACACAAATCCGTTTTTTTTGCCCACGTGGCGACCTGAATCTGACCTTATGACAGTCTGAACATCACAGATCTGATTTTTTCCAGTGCGACCCAGAACACTTGGCTCGGTTGAGCTGAATCCGATATGTATCTGATCTTTTTAAATGCGACCTGCCAGGTCGCATTCATCCAACCTGAACGCCATTAATACCCGACAAAAGTCACTATTCTTTGTCTTTTGACGCAGAAGCGGCAAGAAAAAAAAACAACCTTGTCGGATTATAAAGCGGAGAGCTGTATCTTTGTTTAACCATCTTGAAAAGATTGTATTTTTAAAGTTGGGAAAGATCGCGTGATGCATGTTTACTTCCGTAAACACAGAGCACGCTTGCTTGTGACGTAATTTCGTCCTCTACTGCGCATGCGGGACACTTAAGCTGTATGAATGCAGTTTACGCAGGAGATCACATACAAGTCGCATATATTTGGAAATGTGAACGGCAACGCAAAAAAAAAAATCTGATTTTACAAAACAAAAATCGTAACTGAGCATTGAGGCATTTAGTGTTAACTTAGCCGGATTAACATTTTGCCAAATAAAACAAAAAACTCGCCATCATAGCCAGCAGTACTTCACACAAGGCTATGCAGAGAGAGGGCTGCTGCAGACTTGCTAACATTAGCCCTGGCTGCTGCAGACGGGCTAACGTTAGCCCTGGCTGCTGCAGACTTGCTAACGTTAGCCCTGGCTGCTGCAGACTTGCTAACGTTAGCCCTGGCTGCTGCAGACGGGCTAACGTTAGCCCTGGCTGCTGTAGACTTGCTAACGTTAGCCCTGGCTGCTGCAGACGGGCTAACGTTAGCCCTGGCTGCTGCAGACTTGCTAACGTTAGCCCTGGCTGCTGTAGACTTGCTAACGTTAGCCCTGGCTGCTGCAGACGGGCTAACGTTAGCCCTGGCTGCTGCAGACTTGCTAACGTTAGCCCTGGCTGCTGCAGACTTGCTAACGTTAGCCCTGGCTGCTGTAGACGGGCTAACGTTAGCCCTGGCTGCTGCAGACTTGCTAGCGTTAGCCCTGGCTGCTGCAGACTTGCTAACGTTAGCCCTGGCTGCTGCAGACTTGCTAACGTTAGCCCTGGCTGCTGCAGACTTGCTAACGTTAGCCCTGGCTGCTGCAGACTTGCTAACGTTAGCCCTGGCTGCTGCAGACTTGCTAACGTTAGCCCTGGCTGCTGCAGACTTGCTAACGTTAGCCCTGGCTGCTGCAGACGGGCTAACGTTAGCCCTGGCTGCTGCAGACTTGCTAGCGTTAGCCCTGGCTGCTGCAGACTTGCTAGCGTTAGCCCTGGCTGCTGTTAGCCTCGGAGCTCCGCTGGTTGCCATGAGCCTTTCTAGGGCGCAAACAATTAATCAGATTAATCGATTATTGTAATAACTGTCAACTAATGTAGTAATTAATCGTTAACTGGAGTATAGAGACTCTAAAACCTGCCTTTAGCTGACAGAGCGACCCACTCGGAGCAGGAATTATACCAATATTGAAAAAGAAAAAAAAAAAAAAAGAAAAAAAAAAAAATAATAATATATATATATATATATATATATTAGTGCTGTCAAAATTATCGCGTTATCGCGTTAACGCGAGGCCATTTTAATGGCGATAATTTTTTTAACATGAGATTAACGCTATGTGGTTTTATGGTACAATTTTCCAAGTACATCCCGCTGCAGCCTGCGGGAAGGCGGGGCTATTTTCCCCTAGTCTATGCATGTCCCATAGGCTTCGAGAGCGGAGCTCCTCAAGGAAAAAAGACGCTCATACACTGGGTGGCGCTAGTGCCTTTTCTTTAAGCCCCACCACCAACAAACAAGTTGAGTGTCTGGTAACTAGTAGCAACCGGAAATACGCTGAAAAAAACAGATTACTGAGGTGAAATGGAATCTGCTACAGCACTCTTGCTGTCTGTGTACGCCACAGGTCAGTATGGTGTGTTTGTGTGTGTGTGTGTGGGTGGGTGTGTGGGTGTGTGTGTGTTCTCATTTTTGTTAAGAGGCTGAAAAGTAACTTTCTAGAGCATAGACTACCTCCATCTAGTGATGTCGGTCTATAGATTTTGATGTATTGATTGAAAATTGTTCATTATTACCTTGGTTAATTAACATCTAATGTTAACTCTACTACATTTTATAGCAGTAAGGTAAAATGCTTGTCTTTGTTCAAAAGTCTGTATTGACTGTAAAGACTGTCTTTTACATCAGCCTGTTTTTAGGGCCTTTTTTTTGGCTACATATTTGTTATTTTTTGCTACATGCCTCCCCATCTTCTTGCCATATGTTTCTATGGCATAAATCAGTGTCTGTGACCTGTTTTCATAAAAAAAAAAGAACATTGGCACAAACCTAGCCTGTATGTATTTTTTGTATGTCATCGAGAGTATTTAAATGATTTTCAATCAGAAAAAAAATGTGTGATTAAATTGCGATTAATCGCGAGTTAACTTAGGCATTGATGCGATTAATCGCGATTAAAATTTTTTTATTGATTGACAGCACTAATATATATATATATATATATATATATATATATATATAATATATATATATATAAATATATGTACATTTTGCATTTAAGATAAAAAAAAAAAGAAATATCTGTCAATATGCTCTAGCTATCCAGAACTTCTCAAGTGGAAAAGTTTTAGTTTCGCCTGGTTTAATTTCATAAAAAGTCTACTTTAGGGAACTTTTGTCGATTATTAACTGATAGATTTGTTAAATAATCGTTAGTTCCAGCCATAGTTCTCTCAACATCTGAGCTTTATTTTTAATTACGCACTAAAAAAGTAAATGGGAGATAGTGACCCTTAAAGTATAATATTTTCGCCTCAAATGATCTAAAAACGTACTTTTATTGAACAACAGCAACAGAAAAGAGAACTTTTAACTTAACTTGCTCTGTGAGCGCTAACCTGGAAGCTGCTGCAGCAGTGCATGCTGGGACAGCTGTCACTCAGTCAGGTAAAGAGGAAAGGACGAGAACACGTGGGGTCCGCTCTCAGTCTGCTGCTGTTGTGAATTGGAACAGCACTAGAGCTGATTATGTTTCACGAGCACATGAGAACGCACAAGTACACATATTGAGAAACGGCCTCTGCGTTTTTTGTTTATCTGATCGGATTATTTTCTCTGCCTTTGCTAATATGGTTAATTGATAAATAAGGTTGGTTTGGTGGCATTTTAATTTCCGTCTGTGCGTTTCAAACCTCTGCTATACCTCCTTTTTTAATGTTAGGTTTTATTAGTAAACATTGTGTCTTTATTCTACCTCCTGGATCGCTTGTTTTTCCGCTCTTTGGACGTATCGGAGTCCACAATGTCGGCTCTCAGACAGTCCAGGTTGCCAGAAAAGGACAGATGTTCTCCGAAATACATCTTGTAGCTGAGTGGGGTGGCGTCCTGGGCCTGGATACCCGTGTAGCTCAGCAGCGGTTTGAAAACAACCTGGAAACAAGGAAAATTATCTGAATTCTCAGTATGTCAGGATCTGATATCTGGAGAGAGGAAGTGAGGGATCACCTGAGCGTCAGCCAGCTGGACGGCAGCAGGACACTGGTTCCCCTCCTCGATGTCCATGATGTCCTCCTGGCTGGTGCTGTGCTGGGAGTGCTGGGAATGTGTGCCGTCCAGCGTGTTCTGGTCGCTGGACAGCACCGTGTTGAAGTCTGAGGCGGAGGGGATGGTGGGCAGGTTGCACATCCCAGCTGAGGACAGAGGGGGGGGGGGGGACAGATCAGATCATCTCCAGTGTTCCCAGCAGGCCAGGCTGCAGCTTTAATGGTACATAAACACTTTAAAACATTTTTTCATTTATAAGCCAGATATTCCTTCTGATGGCATTTGTTTTACGGCGTCCTGCTGATGCAGCGTTTGTGTTGCTGCTCATGGATACAATTAGTCAGCGAGCTGGAGCAATGGAGGTGAGCAGGTGTGGAACGCCCAGAGGAGAAAGGCGAAGATCAAATGTTAAAACGAGCGAAAAGATGTTTGATTCCAGGAAGGATGAAACAGACTACTGGAGCTGCTGAAGCTCCGCCCCGCTTTGGATACCAGGAACCAATCGTGTACAATGGACCGTCTTTTGTGATTGGTTGGGGTTATTCATTGATTTCTCACTGTAGTGGGGACCATTTATTTTAGTTTCAATGCATTAGTCCTACTCCTACTTTAAATAAACCTTACACGATTCGTTACCATAAATGCACCAGGGAGCGTTATCACAGATCCTTCCTCCCAGCAGCTGGAAGACTCTAGAACCACCACTGTTCCCAGCAACCTCAATCAGTTGTTCACTTTTCTGATGTTGCTGCTATTTTAAATATCCATTACTGTAAACATTGGTTATTTATTCTCCAGATGCAGTTTTATATTTGTGAAAAAAACTGTAGAGAATGTAATTTTTTTAATTCCGCCACTTATTCTGTTATTTTTAAACACTTTTAAATACCACATTTGTTTAACCAAGTGTACTGTAATAATTTTGATGCTGCTGCTGTGACATCACAAAATTCCCCGTTGTGGAACAATGAAGGGATTGTATATTAATTGAACAAAGCTTATTGATTTAAAATAAGAAGCTGTTGGGTTTACATATTTAGGAGAAGTTAAGTATATTTACTCAAAATTAATCCCAACTTGTGAATTCATTTAAAATACATAAATTTACTTCATGCAATTCAAACGAAATTTATTTTAAATAGAAACATTCATTAGTATAAATTTTCAATTAGTATAATCTATTAATAATAAAAACATAAACCTGATGATTATTTAAAAGAAATGAAGGTTTATTATGCAAATTAATATTGATAATGTTAGATTTATTGAATAGGTTTTTATTAGGGGGGGTTGGGTGTGGGGGGGGGGGGGGGGGGGGGGGGGGCTCACATGTTAACTGGCCTGCATGTGAGAACATGTCCTAATCATGCTAATGAGGCTACTGATGTTAGCAGTTCATTTAACCCCGATCCTCTGAGTAAAGTTCAGCAGTCCTGCCAGCAGATGGCGCCACATCTGCTTTTGTCAGCTCACTGCACCTGGTCCAGAGGTTCTATTTAGTCTCAGACTGGATCAAAACAGATCAGGACGGATGATTGGAGTCTATAGGCTTATTAGATCAACTTGTAGAAGCATTTAGCAGGACTTCATAAAGCAGGAGGAAAGTCATAGATTTAAAATAAGAAAAAACAACAACTCTATCGTCTCATCCCAGGGCAGTGGCAGCTGGCCCATAGGGGGCGCTGCCCTCCCTAGATATGGAGGGGAAAAGTCATAATATATATAGATTTTAAAAGCGCTACATGTAATATGAGTTATTAAAACAAAACTTCTACAAATTAACTCATTCAAGGGAACATTTCCACCGACAGAACGGATCATTTCTCTTCTTGGGCGCTCATTCAAAGCCCCCCTCAAGTGAAGTGAAATAACCAATTGTATATCTTTGCTAGAGAAAACTAATAAATATTCGACCAATCGGCATCGCCAAAATTAATGGCTTTGGGGCTCCAGGATTTGTGGCCTCTGCTACAGTGATATAGGCGAAGGAGTTAGTGATCAGTCAGGCAGTGAGGTAGAGATTATGGTGACGAGTCCTTTATCAATCATCAGGATCTGAGCCAGCATGGATAAAGACAGCTAGGACTGATTTAAAGCACTTTATAGAAAAGGCAAAGAAGAACGAACAATCTGGGATTCAAATGGAAAATAATAGAATATAGTCGACTTTTTCTACATGTCTGTTCATTTGCATAGTTGCTCTTCAATAAACACATTCTCAGAAAATAGTTTTTATATTTTTTTAAAAATATAAAGCTGACTAATATCTTCTCTATGGAAGAGGATTAGGGCCACTGGAAAAAAAAGTTAACTGATTTTTAAACTTTATTTCAGTTTAACAAAAGGAAAAAAGTCTGAAAAAAGAATTCTGACTTTAATCTCAGAATTCAGTCAGAATTCTGAGATTAAAGTCAGAATTCAGAGAAAAAAAGTCAGAATTCTGACTTTTTTCTCAGCATTCTGACTTTTTTCCCCACACTAAACTGATATAAAATTTAAAAACCAGTTACCTTTTTTTTTCCACTGGCCCTAATCCTCTTCCGTACTTCTCCATTATTCAACTGATACATAATTTTTATTAGGTTTGTGACACAATATAGGACCATGCAAAACACAGATTTACTTTCACAAAGCCTCAGAAGGGAAGGATTTATGTACAAAAAGGAAACCTGTACATGAAATGATGCTTTGTCTTTATAAAGTGTTTTTATAATGTTTTTTTTGTAGCCTGTTGCTGCTAAAATCATTCATCTAACCAAGTCAAACAGTCTAAGATTTAGCCAAAAAGTCTTTAGAGTGTTTTGAGTTTGATAAACTAATCAAGAACATATTCTGTTAGATTCAGAATAAGCAGAATAATTTTGTAAGAATTTTTGTTTGGAGAATGTTTATCATGATTTTAAGAAGTCTTCCTGCTCCTACAGATTATTTCACTCAGTTCAATCTGTGCTTATTTTCCCAGATTTTTTTAATCCGTTTTATTTTGCTCGTCATGTCTTTGATTTTTGAAAAATCAGATTCTTTAAATCTGAAAAGGTAAGTGAATAAACCGGAACCCAGGATCCGTCTGCAGAACCGAGTCACTAGTTCTAAAATTAACAGCCAACGAGCCTCGTTTTTGACCTGCTGCCTGCTCACAGGATGATGTCATGTAGGAACTCCCACCAGCCGTCCTCACCTGTCTGGGCCCGGTGGACCGGGGACTCCTGGGCAGCGGCTCCGCTCCGGTTCCCCACGGCGTTGGACATCCAGTTGTAAAAGCTGACAGAGGACGGCTCGGACAGCAGCGGGTGCTCCGTCAGCATGTCCGTCCCTGGGTGAGATGGGGAACGGGTCGGATCAGACCCGGAGAATCACTCGTTAAAACGAAAAGCCTGACCGCTCTGAGCAGGACGTGCTGATCGGACCCAACTTTCTGAGAGGGAAGGAGGTCCGACTCTGTGCCACAGTTAGAACACAGCAGCTTTAAGGCCGCCTTCTATTCAACTAAATCTCTTTTTTTGTCATCATTTTGTAGTTTTTTTAAAAGATTTTTTATGCCATCATAAATATAAATTACCATTTATCCACTGCAGCCAATTTTCGGTTAATAAAAACTGCTTTGAAATTAAATAATCTGAAAAAAAGGTAATTTCAGTAAATTAAGGAAAAAACTGATATTGTGTATTTTATTCATACCTACATATATATGTAAACCCTTTTTAATATATCATAAAATAAATCTTTAATAGATGGCTTTTAACGGCTGTACCGTCACTGGAAGAGATGAATCCTTTATCAAATTAATCATGATAATCATTTTAATTTTCATTTTGTTTCAGCACTACTTCTTTTTTTATATTCAGGACTTTGAACTGACCTAATAGACTAAATAAACTTGCCTTGCCTGAACAACAGAGGGCGCTGTTGGAACAATAATAAGAAGCAAAGAGACCAGGAATGCTGGAATTGAACGGATCTAGGTTCCTGATAAGTCTTATTTTCTTTCTATTTTAAACACGCATGTATAAAATGTGTGACGTAATATGTCTTCATTTGTTTTCCAATGTTTTATCATTTTAAGGAAACCCTGTTTGACCACTATCTTCTACAGCAGATGGGGTTTTATCAGGAACCAAGGCCCAGAAGAGTTCAGGCCTGATGCAGGTAATGGAGCAACACATGCAGGTTTACTAGTGGTTCCTAGAATTTCTAAAAGTAGAATGGGAGGCAGATCTTTTAGTTCTCAGGCTCCTCTCCTGTGGAACCAACTACCAGTTTTAGTCCGTGAGGCAGACACCCTGTCTACTTTTAAGGCTAGGCTTAAAACTTTCCTTTTTGATAAAGCTTCTAGTTAGAGTGGCTCAGGTTATCCTGAGCTATCTCTATAGTTCTGCTGCTATAGGCTTAGACTGCTGGAGGACATAGGGACCCCTTTTTCATCATTCTGCTTCATTCTATCTCTATTCTCCCACTCTGCAGAATCTGTTAGTTCAATCTCTAACCTTCTGCTCTCTCTGCTTTTTCTCATAGTAGCTTCATCTGGTCTGTTCCTGTTTGGCTGTGACTCCATCCTGGAGAGAAATATCAGCTGTGCTGCTGCCATCAACACCTTTGTTTATAGATATTAGAGATCAGCCTGTTTTTCAGTGTAGTCCTGTTTCTCTCATATAGCTATAGGCTTACCTTTAACTGTGAATAACTGGGTTTTCCTCTTTCACTCAGAGTTCGTCTGATTAACTGTTTTTTTAACAGACAGAGCCACCCGTGGAGCTTGTTTATGGTTCGCTTTTCTAACATAGAAAGTTTATACAGATCAGTGCCTCCGTGCTTCTTTTTCTATGTCTGCTTCTGTCTCCTTGAACCCCAGTGGGCCTCAGCAGATGGCCGCTCACACTGAGCCTGGTTCTGCTGGAGGTTTCTTCCTGTTCAAAGGGAGTTTTTTCTCTCCACTCTGACTGTATGCATGCTTGGTGTGAGGGATTGCTGAAAAGTCAACAACACAGTACAAGCAAATATCTGTCATCTCTACCTGCTAATCCAAGAGGAGTTAATCCTGCAAAGTCAATGATTGGAAACAATCAGCTGGTTTACTTCAGAAAACTGTGAAGCTTTAATCTGCCTGGATGAGGTGTTGTGAACTGGCAGTGCATAAATAACCTGCTTTGAATCGATAACATCATGGTGGACTGAGTGTCTTCGCCATAAGTTGTTTATTTCATCATGAGGGTTTTAATTTGGAGACCTTTAATTTTTTTGATCCTAGTAAAAACAGTCAAACGGTTCCTAAACTCTGGGTTAGAGATGCAGCTAAAGCTGGTTTCTAAGCGTTAACTCAGTTGAGTGTTGTAATAATTTATAACTCATCTTATTATCGGATATCTGAGGATAGTTTATCTTCTTTCAGTGACTAAATTCTGAGCTCCACATTCAACAAAGATGGCGTCAAAACATTTCCTTTTTCCAGAGCCTACCTGAGCAGAATTAACGTCTCATGATCTCTTCCTCCTACCTGTGCGGGTGAGGGAGCTGCTCTTGGCCGCCGCGGTCGCAGACGCGTCGTTCCTCTGAGGCGTGCCCTCCAGCAGGTTGTGCAGGCTCCGGAAGCTGCCGGTCAGGTTGCTGAGGAGGCTCTCCTTACGTGGGCTGTCCTTGGCCGGCAGGCCGGCGCGGCTCACATGGGCCGGCGAGTCAGCCGCCGTGTCGCCGCTGGTGTAGCTCAGTGACTGGTAGGGATGGGAGCCCTGGGTTTGACAAATGTGCACAAGGGTGAGAGGAGGTTATGTTCCCAGCGGCTGATTTCTCACCGGCCGCTGTGGAGGTGGGGGGTTGGGGAGGGGGGGGTGCGTTTAGATGACAAGCAAGACAGATTGAGTCTGGAAAATGATGTGAGAAGGCTGCATTCAAAGTGGAGGTAATTCTTTCTAGATGAAGGAGCCGAACCCGGCCCAGACTGAGAGTGAAGAGAGTTTAACAGATGGCGTTGCCTCGTCAGGCTGACTGATATCAGAGCTGCTGCCTTGATCTATCAAATGTCAGAAGCTTTAACTAAATGCCGATAGCATCTTCCCAAAACAGAAAACCAGCTGAAGAAACTCAGAGAGATGAAGTCCTTAAACTTTCAGGACTTTTTTCACTTTAAAACCAGAACAAACCAAATCCAATTTTGCAGGCGATCCATCAGAAAATCGTGTTGGACGAGTTGGAGGCGTTTAGCGTTCATTCACAGTCAATGGGAATGATTTCCTGCAGGGGGCAGTGTAGCTCTGACTGAGACAGAGCCCAGGTTTATTTTAGTTGGACTACGCAGCAATTCACCAGCAATTTCACGGGTCTGACAGGAAGAGAGACGCCGTTACAAAGTAAAAAACATCCGCTTTGGGGGAAAATACAAAATAAAATCTCTTAATCTCACGGGGAAAGAGTCCGTTTGGAGTCGCACATCACATACATAGTTCAGAAAAAAAAAATAATAATCCACTGGACTTTGTTTCCAAGTTTGAAGAAGTTTCTCTTCCATCCAGGAATTTTTTTTTTATTCAAAATGTCAGAAATAGCGTTTAGTTCCAGGCTTTATAGAGTGGCCCAAATCAAAGCCTGGTTTTGGTTTAGAAAACATGCAAATTGAAACATAAACGGATCCACCCCTTTGGAATGGGTTCCCATACCTGTCTATGTCTCTGAAAGGGGGGTCATTAAAGGGACCTTTGCTTTATAAAATGTACTGGGGTTTTTTTTATTTTATTTTTTTTATAACTTTTCATCTGTAAAAGTCAAATGTGGGAAATAGTTTTAATGTGTGTATAGCACAGAGACAGAAGTGGAAATAATCTGCACAGATCTACTCAGCCTGCCTAGTCGGAGCCTCTCTATACGTAGTCAGTGACATGGGAAAAGAAATCTGATCATAGATTAAAAAGTCTTTAAAAAAAATAATAAACGGTGTGTTCTGGGCTTTACCTACATGAGGATAAGAAAACTTCCCCATTTTGATATTCATGGCCATTAAAGAAGTGGGGGGGGGGTTTTACCTTTATCCGGTGAGCAGATTCGCTGTGGGTGTGGGACTTGGAAAGCTTCCTCATGATCTCCACTCCGCTGACGGGGCCGGTGTTGGCTTCCTTGGGCGGGGGCCGACCGCATGCCCCATCCAGCAGCATGGTGTGTTCACTCACTGTGGCTTCAAAAGAACGAGATCAAATAAAACTCCCAGAAAAAAAGGAATAAATCAAAGAGCCGTTCATCTGCTTCACATGGGCAAAGCATCTGATGGAAAACCTGTTGGATGAGTTCTATCCGTCGCGTTTTAGAGAAAATGTTTAGTAATCCATTTGTTATTACAGAGAATTTAAACCAATCAGATTGGAATGTTTACATTTGATCCCTGCTACACTTTGTGGAATGGAAATGTTAATTTACCGTCTGAAAATCGGTACTAAACAAAACTTCGCTTTGTATATACTCTGTGTACACAAAATGACAATAAAAGTTGTCAAAGTCTAAAGTTTCCCCCTTTCCTTCCTTCCTCTGACGCAAAAGCTGGAAACATTTAATGAGAGATTTGAAAACTGATTCCAACATCAACACAATAGGATTCTACACCACGCATGGAAACACATATTTTACTTATGATTAATTGTTCTTAAGTTCTCCTAAAAGTTCCCATTTAGTGGCGCAGCACGGAGGCGCAGAACAACTTCTCTGATCAGAAGGACAGGAAGATAGAAAAGTGAAGGACATTATGCTAAACGTTTGGAACATGATAGAAGAAGAAATGCTAGCAGTTAGCATGGTAGATGGAACAGGATAGAAGAAGACATGCTAGCAGTTAGCATGGCAGATAGAACAGGATAAAAAAAAGAAATGCTAGCAGTTAGCATGGTAGATGGAACTGGATAGAAGAAGAAGAAATGCTAGCAGTTGGCATGGTAGATGGAACAGGATAGAAGAAGACATGCTAGCAGTTAGCATGGCAGATAGAACAGGATAAAAAAAAGAAATGCTAGCAGTTAGCATGGTAGATGGAACAGGATAGAAGAAGACATGCTAGCAGTTAGCATGGCAGATAGAACAGGATAAAAAAAAATAAATGCTAGCAGTAAGCATGGTAGATGGAACATGATAGAAGAAGAAATGCTAGCAGTTAACATGGTAGATGGAACAGGATAGAAGAAGAAGAAATGCTAGCAGTTAGCATGGTAGATGGAACAGGATAGAAGAAGAAGAAATGCTGGCAGTTAGCATGGTAGATGGAACAGGATAGAAGAAGAAGAAATGCTAGCAGTTAGCATGGTAGATGGAAACAACAGAAGACATGCTAGCAGTTAGCATGGTAGATGGAAACAACAGAAGACATGCTAGCAGTTAGTACCTTAGATAGAACAGAATAGAAGAAAACATTCTAGCATTTAGCAGTAGATTGACCTGAAAAATCTTTTAAAATATCTTAAATAAAGCTAATAATTGGATCTAAAGCGCCACTTTAAGGAAGTAAAAGGATGCAGAGAGCTGCTGCTTTTTTCTCTCAGCTGCTAGATGAAATGCTTTTTTTGGTTAGCATTAGCATTAGCAAACGGTACAGAACGAGAGCAGGTGAGCAGAAGAGCACCACTTACTGGCCAGGAGGTGTTATAGAGCCTTTAGGATAAATAATTAAACAGAAGCCCAATGGCCCCACCTGCGTCAAATTCAAACTCCGCTCCATCAGCGCTGGTGTCGCTCTGCAGCGCGGCTCCATTATCCAGACCCAGAACTGCATCGGTCCGGTTCTGCTGGGCCTCTTTGGCTTTGATCAGCTGGTTGGGACCCATCAGACCAATGGCCTTAAAGCCCTGAGTTACAACGATGAATTTCATCCACTGTCTGGCCAAAGCAACCAGACCCTTCTTCAGGGTGACCAGGGCAGGAACTCCATCGTTCTGGGTCAGAGGAGCATAAACAAGGACAGTTTAAAAACCCTGGTTGCCCCCAGCGCCGCTGCTCTGGTCGCTTCCACTCACCATGGTGGCCTCCTCGATAACGGAGTAGTCCGCCTGCTGCAGATAGCGGTGCAGGATGTTGCACAGCATGCAGGAGGGGTTCTCGTGCAGGTAGCGAGCCCGCTTCGTGACTCGGTTATACTTGCTGCGGATCGGGATGTGGATGCTCTTTTTCTGTTGGAGAATAAAAAGGAGTTTTAAAAAGCGTCAGCGTGAAGCAGAGGGAACCCCAGAGGGAGTGGGTCCCACCCACCTCCAGAGCCTCGGTCATGATGCAGCCCATGACGGCGCAGACTCGCAGCGTGGCCTCCATGTCCAGCTTACGGAGGGAGGATTTGAGCTGGTCGATGGGGACCAGCCAGGCTCCGATGGCTGGCGTGGCCGTGCTGAGCAGGTTCAACTGTCTGAACACACAACAGAAAACAAGGCAGCTTACTCACCCCGTCGGTTAGCATCCGATTCCGTTTAGCTCAGGGATGCAGGAGGAAAAAAATGTAATAACTGTTTAGCTGCCTACCTGGAGATGGTCTGAGAGGCTGAGCGCACGTTGGTGGGAGCAGCAAAGCTGAACCAGATCTCCCTGATGGTCAGCTTCATGCTGCTGGAGTCTGGCGGCGGAGGCATGAGGGGGAGGTCTTTCTTCAGGTCGTCTGACTCCACTCCTTCATCCTGCAGAGCAGAAAATAAAGCGTGTGTGAAGGTTTTCAATTATTTCAACCAACCATCCCTTTTGTTCAGTACTATGGACAGCTCCTGCTGTCATTAAAGGAGTCCTACCGTTCAAAATCGCTTTTACCTTAATGTTGTTGAATAGAGGTAGCTTGGCATGCTAAAGAACAATAAAAAATTAAAATAAAACTTTATGCCACCTCCTCTCTGTGTATATTTAAAGGTATAGTGGATGATTTTCTTTTTCCGGGTGGATCATCTCAATAAGTGGTTCTCCTAACCGTCAATCATTCTGGTGATATGTTTACGTAAGGCCGTCCTACGTGCTCGTCCCATTAGCTATCTTTTTCTGTGCATGCGCACTTTCAGGCGCATATCTGTGGTGAGCTACGGTTTCAGACGGTCATTGAAGCTCACTAACAGCGGTTCTTTGAAAATTTTCAAGGGTCGTAAGTAGGGGTGTGGGAAATAATCGTTTTGGCGATATATCGTGATATTCGGCTGCCCAATATAATATCGATCTTTCACTTCTTAGTATCGATTTAAAAAAAAAAATGGTTACATAAAACATTGATGGGAAAATGGGCTACCTCTGCACCACCACTCTGGCAGAAAGCGCTGTGGAGCCCTTTAACTGTGCGTGCAGCACCAGATCTGTATTTGAGGCAGTCACAGTGGAAGAAAACCCCAAACAACATGGATAATAAAACCTAATCAATATTTTCTGATGAAAATATACAGCACTTGCTGTTTTATCTCATCATTTGATTTTGATAGCTGGGGAAAATATGGCAATATATAGTGATACTGCAATATCGTGATAATATCGTATCGTGACCCAAGTATCGCGACATGTATCAAATCGCAACACTCATGCCAATACTCACCTCTAGTCGTAAGAGTGTATGAGAAGAAAAGAAAGGCCTGGGGAGAGGCAGATATATCCCAGAATGCTTTGCACAGAGAGCTCTCCTCACAAAGCATTATGGGATTTGCTGTCACAGCGGCCCGCTGTCACTTCCTGACAGTGGCGACTAATAATAAAGATGGCACAGGCACCACGCGGTGGAGCAGTCAGTTAACGGAGTTCACTATAAAGTTCACTATATAGTCTCTGCTCTATATAGTGATGGAGGGATTTAGGGATTAGGGCGGACGTTCAGACACAGTAAGCTTGTATGAGCTATGAGAACAGCAACTTTTAAACAGAGCGTGCACAAGGGGAAAAGGGCTCGTGCATGCTTGTGTATCTTGAGCCAAGGTGAGATGACACATAATAGGAGCTCTAGAAACACCCAACTACCTCAATGGAAACACGTGATGATTTGAATTTCTTTGCCCATGTAAAGGTGCAGCTAGCAAAAAACATATGCTATAGACCAGGGGTTTTCAAAGCATGAAAGGGTGAGCCCCCCTCCAGGGGGCACTATGCCTGCTGCTTTTCTCAAACAAACGTTACATCTGAGATTCTGAGTTTAATGTTTGAGATACCAACAGTGTTTTCATATCTTAACAAAAACATTTTGATCAGATCTTCATTGAGAGCTGTGGAAATTCAGTCCCTGCTGACAGCCAAAAGTGCGTCATCCTCTGTTTCAAGTCCATGTCACAGCTCAGCTCAGCCTCTTCCTCTCCTGTTGAAAGTCCATCTTTGAGTGTCACGGGGAAGGAAAATAGGTTTCTCACCCACTGGTTTCCATTGTCTCCTCTCCAAAATACTCTCCAAACTGCTCGCGCATCCCCTCTAAATGCGCGCAGACAGCCTGCTGTAAAAGCCCCGCCCTGGCCAAAACATCCTCTAAGAAACATTTCCACTGATCCCCGCTCCACACGCGCACCCCACAGTTCCAACTTTGTCCTAAATCCAGATTTATTTTTTCCCCTCGCACCGCGCCTCCCCAAACGTGCTCTGGCGCCCCCTAGGTTTGAAAACCGCCGCTATAGACGAAGCTAGTTTGAGATATCGCCAAGTATGTTGAAAGCAAGAAGAATGTCGGAGCACGCAGTCAGCTTTCCAGAATGTACCGGCAGTGTCACTATTTTCCACAGACTTCCACAAGAAGCTGCTTCTCAGCGATTATGATTGATTAATCAACTATGTACCGGAGCGGTTAAACCCGCGGTTGATAGTGTGCTCTGAACATTTTACACTGGAATGTTTGTAAAAGCTTGGTTTGAAGTTTAAGTATTTTTCAAGTGTAAGTATTTTTTTTTTTTTCTCCAAAGTGTGAAAACAGCTAAAGTAACATCAATTGTTATCGTATTACCATTGCTATGATCTGGCTGGCTGCCTGAGAGCGCTACTGGTAATGCTCGGATTTTTGGAGACTAAAGTTACCTAAAAAGTTTTTTTTCCTCGTACCTTTTGGGGGAAATAAGGTCCCCTTTAGACATTTCTATTTTATTGCATTTTCTGTAATGGACTGAAAATGCTCCAGAAACTGAAGAATTTGATTCATCCAAACATGATTCACGTATTTCAAGTTTATATTTTCATTTATTCAGATCAAACTGAGCGCAGTGGAAAAGTGAAGTATAATCTCCTCTGGAATATTAATCTAATAATGTTTTTATTTATTTCTGTTCTTTTCAACGACTCGTTGATCCGTTATTTTCCCTTTTAAGGCGTCTGACCTGCTCATCTGAGTCCGAGTGCTCGTTGGCGTCCGAGTTGGGGCCGAGCACGTCGTGCGGCAGGTTGTCGTCGGAGACGTCGGTGCTGTATCCGCTTCCTGTCTGAGAGCCGGTGGAGCCGTTGGACTTGGTGGTCCCGTTCTTCCCGGTGGGATCCGAGTGGCCCATCACTCCGAAGGCGTTGTAGAGGACGGCTCCGGACTGGCGGCCCCCTGTGACAGAAGACGAGCGGCAGCATCAGCGCGGAGCTCCGCTCCAACGCGGCGGGTTGCAGGCAGCTTACCTTTGACGGTGAGGTTTTCAATGCCGCACTCAAACATGATCCAGCCCCATTTCTCCAGGGACGCAGCGGATCGGGCCGGTTCGCTCTGAGCCGCCTGGGCGTCGGTTTCATCCACCAGGGAGAACTCCTCCATGTCCTCCAGACCAAAAAGAACCTTTGACTTCTCAAAGGGGATGGCTGTGATGGCGAACGTCCCGATATCTGCGGGGGGACAGAGGGGTCAGAACCACGCCGGGTTCCAGCGTGGCACCGGGCCCGGACCGGCCCGGACACTGAACCAACCTGTGGAGTCGAGGCCTCGCAGCTGGCTGTGGATCCGGTGGATGTTGAGTCTGGCTGCGATCTCTTTGCCCTTCTCGATCCCGGCGTTGGAACGCAGCGACCCGGACGACTGCGGCTGCATTTTGGTGGCCGAGGCGTACTTCTCCAGCATGACGGAGGGTCGGCCGTGTTCGGTGGTGTTCGGCGTCTCCTCTACGATCCCCCTGAAAGGAACAGAAGAAGTTTTCAGCGCCGGCAGGTTCCTTCGGCCGGCCGGCGCTGGGATCCGACGACCTGAGCATAGTTCACCTGTTCATCCTGAACTGCGTGGCGATCCGGTCAAAGCACAGCGCCACCAGAGACACGTGTGGGATGCATTTAGAGGAGCAGGAAGGCGAGACTTCCTCTACAGACGCCTGCAGCAGGCACAGGTTCACCTGCACAGAAACACAGAGCAGCATCACATCGAGAGGTTCTGGACAGGAGCTGGAATCTCTGGTGGCCAGATCCGGTTCCAGCCACAGGTCTGACCTTAGGGATGGAGACGTTGGCTTGGAGGCCCTTTATTTTCACGTTGTCGGGTTTGATTGACAGCTCAGTCTGCCCGTTGGCTGCCTCGGTCTTGGAGAGCTTCTGCTCCTGCTTGAGCGCCTGCTGGCTCTGTGAACATCGGTCAGATCCTCACACACTTTCCCAAACAAAGCAGTCGGTTTGTCTGCCAATCAGGCGGCGTTCTTACCGACTCGGTGACCGTGGACTTGCTGATCTGATAGGCCTCGTTCAGAACCTTCCCATGCAGGTCGTCCAGAATCGCCGCCGGATGCCGGATGCTGGCGAAGTGGACCATGGACTCGATGTATCTGAAAAACAGGGACGGATACCGTCACTCCGCTCAGCCCGACGGAGCGGCAAGATTAGGCGCCGCTTCTCACCTGTCCAGGGACTCGGCCACCAGGGGGGTCAGAACCACGTTGACGGCCCCCTTCACCTCCACGATGGCCGTGGTTCTGGTCTGGGCCAGCGGCTGCTCCAGAGACCAGTTGTCTGTGGCGGTGTCCTCGTCCGTGTTCTCCATGGCCCTCTTATCCAGGGGGGTGTATGGAGTGCTGCGCAGAACAAAACCAAACCAGAGCGCTATGTCACACCGCGTTTCTACTGAGCAGGAAGTACAGCGTTCACCAATCAGGAGCCTCGTTTAGGAGGAAGGTGCTTTTTTTTTTACCCACTAAGCAAAGGTGCTGAAATTTAAGATGGATTTTCTTTTTCCTTGAATGCCCTTTTTTACGCTACCCTCTGAAAACCGATCCGTGACGAGTTCGGACCGAGCCTCGATCCGTTCACTGCGCCAAGCTTGGTTCCTTATGACCATTACACACCATGTGGTGTGGCTCCTCGCCTCCTAGCGGTTATCTACGGTACTACTGCTCTCTAGAGGTAAACAAGCAAACCAACATGGTGGCGCCCGTAACATTCAGGAAGTTTGGTTTTGTTATAATTGGGATATTTCATTGTTTGCGGAGAGTCAGGTGAAGAAGGCAGCCTTTGGTGAATTAACCTGACAGATTTTGCAATTGGGAAGTGGATACGACAAACAATAGTCTGATCAGGGCTTACAGACGCAGGAAACAAGACAGACGTTTAGGTTCCTCGCACTGCTAAGCAGAATCATCACTGGAAATCATGCGGCACGGTAGGGAAGCTGGGATTTTTATTCTTGTCTGAAATTTCCTGATTACGGAGACTGACTGTAAGGATATGATGCGCTCTTTATTATCTGAGAACTGAGAAAAAACTGAACCGCGCCAAGCCCTACTGATCAACTAGCACCATGTTAGCGCAGTTTGCTTCTATCTGGTAGGGTCTGCTTTAGTTTTGCGTGCTATTTACACTAACAGTTATCCACTTTCTGCCTGTTTTTTTCTCTCCGATGTTCTTATTTTTTTCTTATTCACTAGAGGACCGTTTTCACTTCCATACCTATCTTTGGAGATTATTTTATTTGATAAAATATTAATAAATATAAATATATAAAAAGGTGCGACTTTTAGTCCGGTGGGACATATATATGTTCTTTTTATCTTCATAATACATTTTTGGCTGCAGCGACTTAAAACTCCGGAGTGACGTATAGTCAGAAAAATACGGTAATCGTAATTGATTACTTCAGCTCCTGCTCCCCAGTCGATTCTGAAACATCAAACTTTTGATAAGCGCTGTGACTCTTTTTCATTTTCCTTCCTTTCTCACGCATCCCACAGTTATTTTTCCATTTTCTCCACTTTTATTTAAGAAAAATTTTGTTTATTAAAAAGTATTTTTCATATTTTATACTTCCATTTTTTTAAAATATTTTTCTAAATTCTTTTATCTGAAAAACAGAAATTTGAAAATGAAAAAAAAAGAAATACAAGAACAAAATGGAAAATTAAACAAGAGAGAGTTACTCAATAAACCTTTTTTAAAATTTCAATGTTTCTTTTTTATTTCCATTTAATTTTCACAGATTAAAAGGATCATTGATGTTGTCCGGCCATACGGCTGAGGAGGAGACGTGTGGCGCTCATACCTGCTGTTTTCGCCCATCAGCTGAAGTCCTCGGTCGAGCAGCGAGCTGGCTGAGAGGCCCGGCTTTATCACCTGCAGCAAAGAGGGACCTCTGAGTCGGCCATGTTGGACACAACAAACCGGCTAGCAATGCTAACAGAACCGAAACCTGCCCCTTTCACCATGGTGATGGACGAAGGTGATGAAAACCAGAACCAAATTAAAGCCACAAGTGGCATTGTGCGGCCCTCGCAGCTCGCACCGCCTGGTATGTTGCGATCGCTGGAACCAAGCGACCTCCACCTCCATGCTCCTTCCCAGCCTGTGCTCCTGCTCTTCAGCCTATACCTGCTGCTGCTTCTCTTTATCCTCCCCCTCCTTCTTATTCTGCTGCTGCCACTGTTTCTCCTCCACCTGCAGCCTCTCCTCCTCTTACTCATCCTCCTGCTAATGCAGCTTCTCCTCATCATCCTCCTGCCGCTGCTTATCTTGCTGCGTCTCCTTCTCCTCCTCCTGCTGTTGCTCTTGCTGTATCTCCTTCTCCTCATCCTGCTGCTGCTCTTGCTGCATCTCCTTCTCCTCATCCTGCTGCTGCTGTTTCTCTTCATCCCCTGCCTGCTGCTGCTTCTCCTGATCCTCTTCATCCTCCTTATCCTGCTTCTTTTCATCCTCCCCCATTCTCCTTCTGCTGTTTCTCTTCCTTACCACCCTCCTCCTCCTTGTGTTGCTCATTCTCCTCATCCTCCTGTTGCTCCTGCCTATCTTCATCCTTCCCCTCCTTCTGCTGCTTTTCTAAATCCTCCCCTTCCTTCTACTTCTCCTTATTATCATCCTAATCATCCTCCTCCCCCTGTGCTCCTTCTCTTCATATTCCTCTTCCTGCTGCTGCTCTCACTGTGTCTCCTACTGCTGTTTGTTTCTCATCCTCATCATCCTTCTCCTCCTCCTAAAAGCATGGCTTTGTATGACTGGAGTTAACAGTTTGATGCTTAGCCACGCCCACATGCTTCCATGTAGAATAATAATTTTGATAACTTTTAAACTGCTATGACTATAGTCCATGTAAAGTTAATTTGAAGTCTCTAACTAAAAAAAAACCAAGAGCCCTTCACTCAGATATGTCATGACTTAAAAAAAGAAAATGGTAACTTTGATCCAAAATGGCTGACTTCTTGTTGGGTGTGGACCATGGCTTTAATTGACTTTTTAGCATTTTCCT